GAACACACACACACACACACACACACACACACACACACACAAACGCACCTACGGACGCACGCACGTGCGCACGTATTATCATGATAATCAATTTGATGATAAAACACGTGATCTCCTTACACTACGAACTGTGCATATTACTATGCTATGCTACAAATCAAATTGTATCAAAGCAAACAAGAAAAGAAACGAACAGCAAACGTGTGATCACGAGGACAAGAACTCAGTGTTTACAAGCAAATTGTGTTTGCAGTGCAAACCGCAGTTTGAATGAAACTTTGGCAAACTGAAAGTCTTCTCTATACTTTCATGTCCTATGACTTCATGGAGCTCCTTGGTAGGTCATTGACTGACCACGCTGAGGAGTACATTGCAGTGAAATAACGTCACCTTTTTACGCCTACCATTCATAAAGCTTTCTTCGTAATTCAATTAATATCTTTATTGAATTTTTATGTCGGTCGTTACACTCTCAGTAACAGTTAATATAATCTATTCCTAACTTACCAGCATGCCATGATGCAACAACCAACAGAGATGTGTGTTTTATAACCTGAATGAGCAATTTTACTAGGAATTTGTATTGACGAAACTCTGTACCTGTACAAGCTCAGTTGTTATTTGAAAGCTGGAAACAGTCTTATTTCCTAGTAAGTCGTATCTTTTCATTAACTGGATATGTCAATCGTTACAGTCAATTTTGAGTACAATCTGCTCATTTTGTTTATATATACCTTGTTTTAATAACCAATTATATAGATGGGTGTTTTATAACCTGCATGTGCAAATTTATTAGGATTTTGTATTGACGAAACTCTGTACCTGTACAAGCTCAGTTGTTATTTGAAAGCTGGAAACAGTCTTATTTCCTAGTAAGTCGTATCTTTTCATTAACTGGATATGTCAATCGTTACAGTCAATTTTGAGTACAATCTGCTCATTTTAAAAAATATATACCTTGTTTTAATAACCAATAATATAGATGAGTGTTTTATAACCTGGAAGTGTAACTTTACAAAGACCTTTATACTGACTAAAACTTTGTACAGGCTTAGTTATTATTTGACAAGCTGGAAACAGTCTTACTTCTTAGTAATTCAAAACAATTTATTCGCTTGTTGTGTTGGTCGTTACATTCTCAATTTCAATTATAATCTATTCATTTTTATGTATGCCTATTTGTAATAACCAACACAAACATGTGTTTTATAACCTGCATGTGCAATTATACAAGCACTTTTGTACTGACTTAACTCTGTACATGGCTAATTGTGATTTGAAAAGCTGGAAACAGTCATTTATTTCTTAGTAAATTAAATCTCTTCATTGACTTGTTATGGCGAACGTTAGACTCTAGGTTTTGATTATTCACTTTTAGTATGCCTAGCTGTAACAACAACACAGACTTGAGTTTTATAACCTGGATGTACAATTTCATAAGCACCTTTGTATTGACTAAACTCTGCACGACACTTGTTGTTATTTGATATACGATGGGTGGTATTCTTTCTTTAATTCTCTCTTTCTGTATGTGTTAGTGTGTGTGTGCGTGCGTGCGTGCTTGTTTTTGTATTGACGTTTTATGGCGTGCATGTGGGGGGAAAAGGGGGGGGGGGGCATCCAGAAGCGGCAAGAGACAGTGTGTGTGTATGTGCACCTTTTTGGGGCTTTTACTGTTAACATTAATTGAGTGCGTGCGAAGGAAGGAGGATCCTGAAAGACCTGTTGCATGCCAGATTTGTCTATTCTTTTAGAGTGTCAGAGTGTCAGAGCTCAAACACACAGGCTCCATAGAGACCCTACCTTTTCCGGACCAGAAAAATTCTGAACAGAAAAGTGCGATTATACCGTTCACACAGGGTCCATACAGACCATACAAATTTTTCTGGTTTCAAGATAGCGCTCACGAGGAAGCGCAAGATATTTCTGCTTTGGTGGTACAAAAGAAAAGCCCTAGTATCCAAACGGCGTCTATGGATTCACCCAATTTGTAAAGACCGGGGAGCTTTGGGAGAATTCAAATTGTTGGCCCAAATATTTGCTGATGTTGAGAAATGTTTGGAACATTTTCAAATGACGCCAACAGAATTTTATGGACGAAATCTCTGTTGGTGTAACGTCTTTGTCTTTTTTTAAAAATCATTAAGCGCTGTTCTTGCCCGCACAAGTTCGATAAGCTGACATAAGCTTTGCATCGTCCATTTTGCACCACGTGCGAAGTGTGTAGCGGAGTGTGTCGTGTGTATGCCGGCGTGTTTAGGCCTAGTGACGCCAACTACCCTTTTCTGTCCGCACAGACCAGAAAGTGTATGGCATGCTTGACGCAATCCAGATTGAGCGGTGGACGGAAAAAATCTGGACGCAGCGGTCTGGCTGCTGTGTGCATGTCAAATTGTAAAATATAATGCTGAACGCAAACGCACTTTTTATGTATGGTCTGTATGGAGCCTGTGTGTTTGAGCTCTAAGTGTATGCGAGTACAAGGCGTTTGCGTATGATTATATGTTATTATATTTTTATCGCGACATCTTCTTTATAACAAAAGTTGATATTATGCAGGCAGCTCACAGCTGTGACGTTTGCCAAATAAGCGTGAACTTATACTGCGTTTATCTTTTTTCTTTTTTAAAAAATGGAATAGGAAAGCAATGGATCAGTTCTGAAGTATCTCATAACACTCCACAGCAATTTAAACCTACAGTTTTATACATTCTTAAGTTCAAAATCATAGAAATACGTCTCTGTCATGTTCTTGGGAATACGTGTACTGTATGCCACCTTCATTTCAATTTCGAGGTCTGAAGAGTGTGGTGTCTTCTAAAAGTTGACACAATATCTCGGTGTCACCAGAGCTATACATGTGCATCGTAAGCCCCCCCCCCCCTCTCTCTCTCTCTCTCTCTCTCTCTCTCTCTCTCTCTCTCTCTCTCTCTCTCTCTCTCTCTCTCTCTCTCTCTCTATCTCTCTCTCTCTCTCTCTCTCTCTCTCTCTCTCTCTCTCCCTCTGTCGACCTCGCTTTCTTTTCTCTCTATACCCCAATGATATCACAATATATGGTAAAAACAGTCTATGTTGTTGCCCAATACCACTATTTTTATCACTTTCACAAGAATTCAGACGTAGACTGTTACGTACGTCACATTAAGATTGGTGTGAAGGTTAAACGTACTCAGCGTAATCCACGAGTATGGTGTACGCAGGTAATTTTTTCTTTGAAGTTCAGCTGCAATTAAAAATGAACTGGCTGTATTATTGTATACACCTTGGAGTACGTCAGACAGCATATAATAAAGCTGACATTCCATATGCCCGAAAAACCGATGCGAACTTCGGGTGCGAATTTCGCTTGCGAATAATTTTTTTCGCACCAACGTTTTTGTCATTGGGTGAATCCATATACCGGAATTTCGCATGGCCGAGTCCGAAATTCGCATGCGAAGATTTTGTTTCGCACGAGGGAGCGAAACTTTTTTCTTCGCATGCGAATTCTTCGTGAAGTGGGCGGGGCTTATTTCCCGCCAAATCTACTTCAAAGGAACGAAGCAGCATAGAACATGATAGAAGCACTAGATAAGTGGGGAAAACGTCGAAATGTTGATTTCCTTGGTTCGAAAGAGAAGTGTTAAAACCAAGATTGAAAAGGAGTGTTTATTTTCAAGGTGGCTGTCATTTGCATGGCAACCACTTTTTTTTTAGTTTGTGGGAAACTTTCGGGAGTCTATGTAATCTATCTATGCTATCATTTATCGTTTAAATCATGTAATAACTAAAAATAGCATTTCACTTACACCCCCCCCCCTCCTTAATTAAATGCACTTGAATATAACTTCTAACATACATTAATTATAACTTAAGATTGCCGTCTGTGCCGCAGCCACATCAGCCAGCGCTGTCGGTGATAGGACCGAAGCTTTGAAAAGAAAACGACCCAAGAAAGCAAAGCTTATGAAGGAAGGACCATCATCAAGTCTGGACAAAGCAATTTAAAGCTGCTTTCGTAGGAACAGGAGTTCTAACAGCAAAATTCTCTTGTTTTCAACGTAGAGTGCTTGCTCTGACTGAACTGGTGCCGTGGTTTCAGTCAGATGACGGATACAAATTTCGCGTATATGGAAGGAGGGCTCTTTTTTCATCGCACGCGAATTTCGTACACGAAA